AATAACGGAAAAGGGGACGCACACACCTCACTTTCTCTTCCCATCTTTTATGCATAAATAAAGTGTTATTTGTCTCGATCGTACACGTCATAAGTACATCCCGGTGAGATGGGATCAGTCGATGTCAGGGGGTGGAAACTTAGAAGAAGGACGATTTGTATGGAAAGTGGCGCCACCTTTTATATAATGGTAAACATCATTTCATCTCATGGCTGAGAAGAAGCATCATTTCTGTCATCGAGACATTCATGTGTCATCAAACCGCTACGTTTTTTCGTATTTCTATTTCTATTCTTGTATTCTTAGTTAAATGTTGTTTCATTTATTTGTTTTTAATTAAAATGTGTTTTCGTGAAAAATGACGCTGTACGCAACTGTGTTTTAGATGGACTGATTATGGTAAGTTACAATTCAATAAAAATTTTCATGTTATTCCCATACGTCAGACTCATTTAAATATTTAAATATTTTCGTATTTTGGTGTAGTTTTTAGCACCACAGTGATTTATCCTTTCCGGTTATCATATTGAATTGTGCCCTACTTCTAATACATTTTACATATCAGTTCCTATACTTGATAGGAAATCACATTCTGTTTGTTTGTTGTAGGTGCACATATACACAGTTTCCCCCTTCCTGAGAGACGGTCAGTGATGTTCAGAAAATGTGTGCCAATCACTGGAATTATAGACTCATAAACTGATGTGTCCGAAATTAGTAGGTGGGTCCATGTGTGTATATGTAAAAAATATATTTTTTTATTTGTAATTTTTTATTGTAAAGAAAAATTTGCTTGCCTATGTTGTAAGAGAATATGTACAGAGTGTTTAAACTCGCAAATAACTACAAATTGGCAGTTGCCAGCTTGCATGTGACTGAAAATATTTTGAGGTTTGGTTTTAATTACAGGGTATGTATTCTTTTGTGACCGCGCTGCGCTATACTATTTATTACCGTAAATGTAATTTTCAAATATATATATATTAAAAATTAAAATATTGAGCTGATATCTTGAAAGTCATTGATGTATATGTACTTGCATCGATTTAAAATTAAGTTATGTAGAAATATAATAAATAATGTACAAAAATATAAAAATATTTTGTTTTTATTTCCCCAATAATAATAGGATCATTTTAATAGAGGTATTTCATAGAAGGCTACTTGATATCGGCTCACTATATTAATAACTACATAAGTGGGTATATTATTTTTGAACATTGATTTAATGTCAATTTTAACTTTATTTATTAGATTCCCACTTATTAGTTATTATTATAGTGAGCTAAATAAGCGTGCCTACGTATATAGGTACCAAGAAAAAAAAAATAGTTCAGCGATTATACGCATGGAGCGCCACAATCGCCGTGGATC